TTAAAAATCCTTAAAAATGACAAATAATCCTTAAATACAGTTTCCAAAGGTCTTAAATTACCAAAGGCCCACTAAACAAGATTCTTTTATTTTAATAAAAATTTCGTGAATTTCTAGTTAGTGTTCAGCATTTTTTGTGTGTGATATTGACGTAAGCGGAACCGTACACATTCAGTTGGTTGTGAAAGGGGGCTATTTTTAGATGAGCGCATTAGCTGGTTAAGCTAGTGGGAGCTTGCGCCATGGGGAAGTTTAATGGTAACTGGATGGCTAATCCCACGTTCGCGACGTGGTTAGCACCGGTTCCAGGCTATATCTGGAAATTATAGCTTAAATTTAATTTTAAAAATAGCTTAAATTTGGTCAAAGTGGCCTTAAAAAGGTCTTAAAAAGTCTTAAATTTGGCTCCCTTAAACCTGCAGACACCCTGTTTAGGATTGAGAGGAGATGCAGGAGGATAATAAACAGACAGGACAGAAAAATAGTCAAATAAATCAAGTTAGTTTTTGTACCTGCTGGTAGCAACAAACAGACACCATTGAAGGTAATCAGAAGTGAGGAACAGAAAATGAAATAATTATTTTAATGTTTAGAGCAGCAGGAACTCCGAGAGGCTGCAGGCGCATCAGTGAGTTTGCGGCCGCTGCGCAGGAGGGGGGGGGGGGGGGAGGGCTGAAGCAGAAACTACCGTTGTTAAAAGAAATGTGTTTAACTTTGAAAATGTGGGCGCAATTTTAATTGTCAAAAACTCCAGTGAACCATTAGTTCATTTTGCTCAAATAGAAATTGAGGCCTGCCTCTAATTCTGGCCCTCCTTCCAATAAAGGCCTGGAGCTTGATGAGCTTGAGTCAAATACAGGCCCAGGCCTGTATTAGAGGATTTACGGTATGTGTAGAAGTCTCAAACTCCTGACTCTTCAGACCATTCTGTGTTTCCACACAGCCCCCCAGCCTGAAAGAGACACATCTGTGACAACATCCTCTCGTCGGGAAGGGAAAGAGCCCAAGGGAATGCCCCTGCAAATAAAATCCACATTCCCCCAGGGCCTGAGGTGTCTTAGGCAACTGTCTGTGAGCCAAATGTGCCTGTGTCTGTGCTGTTCGGGGAAGAGGCCTGGGCTGTTGATACATACCTCTAGGGTCATAAGGATAGAAGCCATAACATCAACTTGCCCAACAGCTGGAAGAGTTGGCCATAGGATAGAACCCGACGTTGCAGGGCACGTGAGACGAGACCGATCATCTCCGTCACCCTCTGAGGGGATGGGGAGGCAGTCATGGCCATAGAGTCAACGGCAATGCTAATAAACATCACTCGCTGGCTCAGCATCAAGGTACTCTTTATAAAGTTTACTGTTCGACCCAAATGAGACTAACAGGATTGCTGTGTGGTGATGTGCCTGTTCCGCAGCCAGTCATCCAAGTAGGATTTGCATTCCGTGGGCCTGCAATGAAACGAGTGCTGCGGCCACGCATCTGGTGAATGTGCGTGGTGCAAGAGAGATTCCGAATGGCTGGACTCTGAATTGATAAGCCTGTCCTTCGAAGGCAAAGCGAATGACTGTCTTTGGCAAGGTCCTACCGGAACATGAAAATAGGCGTCCTTCAAGGCTATGCACATTAACCAGTTCCCTTGAGAGATTGCTTGGAGCACGTTCATTGTGCGCAGCATGTGGAACTGCAGGACCATGACCAAGTGATTCAGGTACCTTAGGTCAAGGATAAGGCATAACCTGCCATCCTTCTTTTAACAAAAATAATTATGTGACTAGAACCCCTGGAACTGGTTTGAACTGGGAACTAGAGCTGCAGCCCTTTTAGGGTCAAAAACAACCGTCATCTTTACTCCGTTGTACCGAGGAGGACAGTGCTCAAACTGAATTCTGTAGCCGTTGACCAGGGTAGATACCATCCATTGGTCCAAGTTCAGGGCCTCCCAACATTTGATATGAACTGGGGATAAACGGCTGGGGGCCTGATGCCAGGAGACAGAACCCGCAGTCTCTGGGATAGTTTCCTAAAAGCTTGGAAGGGTGATTGCTGGGGGCACGACGAAGATGGTAATTTATTGGGGCTCTGCCAGCAGGAGACAATATTGATCAAACGATAGAAGTGATACAGAGATGGAAAAAATCTAATTATGGTTTGATGAAAATTAAGCTTTCATTGAACACAGATAAAACATATTTTATGATATTCAGTAATAGAAAGTTGAATATAAAAACATTAATAAATTTAGACGAAATCTGTATTTAAAGTAAAGGAAGTTACATTTTTGGTTGTCATCATTGATGAGGATTTATCTTGGAAACCACATATGAACAGTGAATTGGTCTGAACAGAGTGAAATGGTCACTAGATGACAAATCCCTATATTTATTATACAATTCATTGATCGTACTGTACCTGAACTACTGTGTTGAAATTTGGAGAATAACATATAAAACCAATACACATTCAGTTTTTATCCTACAAAAAAAGCAATTAGAATTATAACACGAAGAATTTATAGAGATCCATCCAGCCAATTATTTATCAAATTGAAAACATTAAAATTTTATGACCTAGTAGATTATACTATTTTGAAATTTATGTATAAATTCGACAAAAAGCACCTTCCAACAAATGTAATCATAAGATTTATGGAAAGAAAGAGTAGTTATGATTTGAAAGGCAAAATATACACGATACCAAAACATAGGATGAATATAAAGGAACGTTGTGTATCAATATATGGAGTCAAAATGTGGAATAAATTAAGCACCGAAATCAAGAATACCAAAACAATATATACCTTTAATAAACATATTAAAAATGAAATGCTTAGCTTGTATGATGCTATGAGATAGACATATTTATGAAGTAGAGAGAATGAAAGGGAAAACACTGTATGTTCTACTTTGTTTCTTTTAGCTATTAGTTTTTTGTGTTTTATTTTGCATTATTTGTTTTCTCCTTTCATTAATATAAGAAAAAAAAATTTTTTTTGTGTACATGTTTGTTTTCTCTCCATTTTGTTTTTCAAAGCTCAATCAGTAAACCAGGTCACAGTTGTTGTTTTTTTTAAGCTATAATAACTTTGTTGTCATTTGTATTTATTTTGGTTAAGGGGAACAGATAACATAAGTTTTGCTTCTTTGTTTTCCTTTTTCATTTTTTGTTGTCGTAAACCTGTTTTGTGTTTTGTTTTTAATTGTGAATAAATGAAAATAAACTTTAGAAAAAAGAAAAAAGTGTAGTGAGAGCCAGCAACACAAGGCGTAGCAAGCTAAGAACAACCCAAAAAATGGAAGTCCGTATAGTTGACAATGTCCAAGCGCAGCTATAGCATGATAGAGCTAACAGCTAAGCTATGACAACCAGTTGGGTAGAACCCAAACAGCAACGGCCATTACTGCCTAGTAGCAATTAAACAGTAGAGAAATCCAGCGACACAACACGTAGCAAAGCTTAAAAACAACCCAAAGAAGTGGGAGTAAATTGTGTTAGCTTACAGTCCACGAGCAGCTGTAGCACGACCGAGCTAATGGCTAAGGTTGACAACCATCACAAGGATTTATCAAGGCTAAGAATAGCCTGGAAAATGGGAAAGTATTCTCATAAGCTCCGTGGAGCATAGAAATTGGGCCGCGCCTTGCAGCTTCTGGAAAATGTAAGGCACGTAACTCCAACCAGCGATTGCAAAGCTATCTGCAAGAGCAGCTAATCTTAAGAAAATAGACTCAAACCTTTGCAAAGGCAAGAATGCAAAAAAATACTGATTTCCTGTGGCATGGGGTTTTTATAGACTGCTACCACGTCATCCAGGTAACTTTCAATAAGTGACTGTTGGTATTTTCCCTCGACCTCTGTTCTGTGTGCATGCCATATCCAGTGCTTTGCACCGCCCTCTGGTGGTCAGAAGAAATTAAATTGAACTAACTGAACAGATGAACTAGTAGTAGCACATTCTAGGTTTAAAAACGGCAACAAATTAATATCAGGAGAGATGGAATGTTTGTTGGTTTGACCCCTCTCCAGGGTGCTATCACAGCTCAGCAGAACACCAGTGTAACTTCTTCTGGAGAGAAAAACACATGAGCACCATGGCGATATGAGTATTTTGCAGCTTTCATGCTGCCAAACTTGGTAGTAATATTACTGCAACAGCAGACTTGTGAATAAAGATAACACCTTGGCTCAGCAGAGGCTGTGTCACCATCACATGTGGAATGTCCACCGAGCTTCAGCTGGCATCTATATTGAAAATGAAATTAAACAAGGGCATAAGTTTTGTTTTTGTAAACAAAATCAGCTGAGATGTCTTCCAACAGTCTAATCCTATAGCAGCATAATTACAGAGATAAGTCGGGATAATCTAATATTTTAGATGGAGGCATGTGAAAGGCAGAGCCAGAGAAAACTTCACCGACTGTATTCCCCGCTGTACACTCCACCTCGCTCAACTACCCCACTTCTCAAAACTTGGGCTAACATCACTCAGAAATTAACCATAAACTCCATCAAATAAAAGTTTTAAGCCTAGTCTTAATGTCTGCCTCAAAGATTAAGCTGGTAGCTGGTTCCACAGGAAAGAAACCTGATGACTGAAAGATCTGCCTCCCATTCTATTTTCAGATATTCTAGGAACCACCAGTAAACCTGCAGTCTGGGAGCAAAGTGCTCTGTTGAGAACATATGGAACAATCAGATCATTGATGTATGAATTTTAACTTGTTTATTAAGCAGGTTTTACATATTGTAATTAGTTTGACTATGAATTTAGGTCAGCTCTCAGCAGGAAGATTAAAATAAAAGAAAAAGTTTGAAAATATATTCTGTCATTCCCAACTTCTGTTTAAGAATGGAAATGGAGGGAGGAAATCAGATTTGGAATGAACAAAATCTGAGATTTTATTTATTACGTATCACCCAGCCCTATAACGTGTGGGTTTTATTATGGTTATGTGCATTTATATTCATATGATGCATTTATATTTGTATATTTTTATTCTTTTAAGAAGGATGGAATCCCAGGATCCCAAATCCTATGGAGACTGCTCTGCTGTATGGGATCCTCCGCTTCAGTTTAGTTCAACAGCGGAGAACAGTGGTGACCTGGACCAGATCACTGAAGAGCAAAAGGAGAAACCTGAGTTGCAATACCAGCTTAGGCTTCCTGCCAAGCTGAAGGACATTGAGGTTAGCGTGACCTTTGCGACCTCACCAAGCAGCTTCTACGTCCAGCTCAAGGAGTATGACTCCTACCAGAAAAGGTCAGAAGTCCCCTGGAATGTTTACATTTATTAAATTCTATTGTTTTTTTCTTAAAAACACAGATTTTTTAAATGAGCAAAAAAAAAATATGATGAAGACTTGATAAGTTTCCACTCCCTCTGCTACTGGTTGAAAGCGAAATTCAAATGTCATAAACAACCCTGCAGCAGCCTGCTGCATATAGCGGTAACAAATGGCTAGCCCCAGCACCAGCCCACTGATACGAAATAAACCACAAAGTAAAAAGATACACACTGTTGGACAAAAAAATACTATTGCTTACAATTCCAGTAGTAACAAAGCCAGGTCATCATCGGTCCGTGATGTTATAGCCTCATTTATCTACCTAAGTCGAGTGTAGGCCAAACTGATATTCACCCTGGTTTTGGCTCTTTGCCTAACCTCCAAAGACATTACTCAGGGTTTCCCCCAGTGCTTTATAAGCCTGGCGGCCTGCCAGGCTTTGCTTGCCCACCCGCCAGGCTAAGCATCGTGCCCCGCCCCCCTCCCCGACCCTACCGTGTCCGCTGACACAAACGGCGCAACGAAACTAGAGCCCTCCATCAGCTGATACTGGTAAGAAACAGCAGTGGAACGTGTGCAACCACCCCACCCCTGCTCTCACAGAGGAGCGCTGCAGGACGGAGCGCGCGAGCGCGACCCCCCCCCCCCCCCCCCCCCCATCACGGGAAACCCTGCATTACTCTTAATTTTACTTCCAAACTCTGCCATGATTCCAAATGACAAATAAAGCTACATTAATATTCTTCTTGTGCTTTTTATTGTCAGTCAGTAAACTGAAAAAGCTAACTGCTAGCTACGGCTGGATTTATCACAAAAAAATAAATCACATCGATATCAATAATTATTAAAAACTATATGAAAAATGTCTACTGTATTTTAAGTGCAGCCCTGGCCTTCTTAGGCCATTACTTTATGATAAAACAAGTTGGTTGCATTACCAGACTTGTTTTTATCTATTCTCTGTTGCAAACCACCGTTGTTGTTGTTTTTTCTTTTTGTTTGTTTTTCTATTGAACCACATGTCTATTGACCAATACATATTGTTATTTAGTTATTGTCCAGCCCTACCGCTAGCCTTTGTATTATCCACCGGCACAGTAAACAACTATTGCCAAAAAGCAAATAAAGACCTCCCACTAGTGTTCCTACCTGAACGACAAAATGGTTAAAGGTTGAAAGGTTGGAACACAAACACCATAGCAACATCTAGTGTGTGGAGGTTGTTGTCACAACAATATAACAAGGTTTCCAGCCGTTGGGAAGGCAGATTCACGAATCCTATAGGGCAGTGTTTCTCAATCCTGGTTCTCAGCACCCCACTGTCCTTCGTGTTTTCTATGTTGCTGATTCCAACAGCATTGTTTCTCTGCGGCCACACACCTTACTTAAATTAATGAGTGATTAACAGGTTTCTGCAGCACTTGATGTCATCCTAATGAGGCAATGCAAGCATGTGAACTAGGTGTGCTGTAGCAAAGACATGGGGGGCACTAAGGACCAGGGTTGAGAAACACCGCTAAGGGGTCATTTCTACTCATAAGTTTATTAATCACAGTATTTAATGTTAGAACATCTTCTGGGCTCAGAATCAGCTGCTCGACTTGTTGAGTCCACAATTTTCCACAGTGCCAGCCTTGCAGACTGTTAACGTATTTGGCAACCCATAATGGTGTCCCCTATTGGCAGGTAGATGTAAACATAAACCCAGTGTTGGGCCCATCAAAATAAATATTTGATCCATCCATTTTCAGCCACTTATCCGAAGTCAGGTCACGGGGGCAGCAGCCTAAGCCAAGAGGCCCAGACTTCCATCTTCCCAGCCACTTGAACCAGCTTCTCCTGGGGCTACACCAAGGTGCTCTCTGGCCAGCCGAGAGACGTAGTCCCTCCAGCATGTCCTGGGTTTTCTCTTGGGTCTCATCCCAGTTGGATGTGCCCGGAAAACCACCAGAGAGGTGTTCAGGAGGCGTCTTTAGTAGATGCCTGAGCCACCTCAACTGGCTCCTCTCAATGTGGATGAGCAGCGGGTCTAGTCTGAGCACCTCCCAGATGACTGAGCATCTCACCCTATCTCTTAGGGAGGACTCAAGTCATTTTGGCTACTTGTGTCTGTGATCTCATTCTTTCGGTCACTACCCAAAACTCGTGACCAAAGGTGAGGATCTGAACATAGATCAACTAGTAAATTGAGAGCTTTGCATTTCAGCTCAGCTCTCTCCACCACAACAGATCGGTACGGTGCCCGCATCACTGCAGAGCCAATCCACCTATCAATCTCATACTCCATTTTTCTGTCACTTGTGAACAAGACCTCGAGATACTTAAACTCCTCTACTTGAGGCACAACCTTGTACCTGACCTGGAGAAGGCTCTCTACCCTTTTCCAATTCAAGACCATGGTGTCAGATTTCGAGGAGCTGATTCTCATTCCAGCTGCTTCACACTTAGCTGCGAACCGCTGTCTGCCAACAGTAGGCCTGTAGCGACGCCTCGATGACGTAGAGGATTCGATTCTAAACAACTGTCGACGTCAAATCCGGAAGTCGATGCACCACGTGACATAAACAGAGCAGCGCAGAGAACAAAACGCCGTTCATCTGATAGACTCAGCTGCAATGTCTCAGGGACCCCGGCGCCCTACCTCAAAGGTGTGGGAATATTTTAAACGGAGCACAAAACGTGAAAGTGCCGTTATTTGCAGTCTTTGCACCATGGAATTAGCTTATCACACCAGCACAACGTCCATGTGGGAGCATCTGAAGCGGAGGCATCCCATTGTTACCCGTGACTCCCGCGAACAGAAGTAAGTTACATTATATCATATTGTCAGTGTTTGCTAAATTGATTGCATGTTTGTGTAACATGTGCGTGAGCTCTGCGCACTTCAGTAGGGCGTGTTTGGTTTGGCTAAACACAGCTTTGTTTAGCTAACGTTAATTAGCGATAGCATATAATGCTGGCCCAAATGGCTAACTAGGTAAATGCTGCTATGCAATGACAAAATGTATTGTTGTACAAAACATGACTTAACATTACAAAATTAGCCACACCAGCATTCTCAAATGACTTAATCATGGCATAGCACTGCAATGAGGCTAAGAGCATATTTAAGATGTCATACTTTCATAGCTGTTGTTCTGATATGCTCCAAATATGTTCTAATTTGCGTTCTGCAAAGCCTATACTTCTGTGTAGCTTATGTTGTTGACTTTATTGCAACAGGGAAACATGTTTCTAACTGTGCATTTGACAATAAACGCTTTTAATCTTTGAATTGATTTTGTGTTTTCCAGAGCAAAGCAAAGAACCTTGTCGTCTTATCTTGGGCAAGAGATGCAATGCACACCTCCAGCCGAGCTGAATAAAAGGATCTTGAAAGTAATACATATTAGCTAACTGTTGCTTGCTTTCAGCATCTTTTAGGAGGAAACTGCTAACTATGTAAAAAAAAATCACCCTCATTTAGATAAAAACAGATGACAAATATGACAATAGGGTCCAGTTTCTTTAATCTCCAACGTTTGCTTTTGTTGGCTTTTTTTTTCTTCATGTCCTTGTGTGATTTGTCTAGTAATTAAATGTTGAATGCTATGTTGTTTCTATATTTATATTTTCTTTATCTTACAGTTGATTGTTAAAGACATGAGGCCTTTGTCTCTTGTTGAGGGTGACGCCTTCATCGATATGGTCGAATACGCCTGTCCCGGCTTCAAATGTCCATCCAGGTGGCGGTTCAATAACCAGATGGAAAAAACATGAAGATACTCTGGAGAATTTAAAGAAGAACATAAAGAAGAGGTCCTCAAATCACACCACTTCTGTTCAGGCTGTAAAACTGGGTGCTCTTCCTTAGAGACTGTTGAACAGTTTTATTTTGTGTTAAACACTCGGGGATGTTCATGCTGTGACTTGCACAGTGTTATGTTTTGCACTAAAACTAGACTTAAACTAGAGTTATTGGAACTGTGTTCCAATAATACTGCTTTTATTTTGTTTTAAGCAGAAGATGTTTGACTTTGGAAAATTGTTGTGTAATAAAGTCATTTATACAATTTTGGGGGTATGTCTTTAAAATATTTTGGTTTTAATCAATTGTACATAAAAAAAATCATGTAATTAGTCATTAGAATAGTTGACTATTCGATAAAATAATCGCCAGAATAATCGTTTTAAAAATAATAGTTTACCTACGGCCCTAGCCAACAGGACCATATCATCTGAAAAGCAGAGGCCTAAGAGGAGCCGTCCTCAGGACTCGCCTGAGGCCCCATCTCCCCGTAAGGACATATTAGAATTATTAGATTCTATAGATAAACGGCTTCTGTGATTTGAGGGGCGACTTCTGCTTGAGGTTCTACACCAGGAGTTTCAGAACCTCCGAATATCTTTGGAGTTCAGCCAAGAGCAGGTTAAGCGGCCCGCTGCTGAGAACGCGTCTCTGCTGGAGTCAGTTTCTTTCCTGGAAGAGGGAATGACACGGATCACCTAGGACAACAAGATTCTGAAGGAGACTGTTTTGGACCTTCAGGCCCGTAGCATGAGGGATAATTTGGTGTTCGCAGGCCGGTCCGGGTCGTAGAGGCAGCATCCCAACTAGGGAGTTCCAGACGGTCCTCTACTCGGCCACCTCCACCAGCTCTTCCGGCAGGAGCCCAAGGTGTTCCTGGGCCAGTTCGGAAAAATATTTTCTCCCAACGTGTCCTGGGTCGAACGGGGCGTTCTTCCGGCAGGACATGCCTGAAACACCTCCCTGGGGAGGCGTCCAGGAGGCATCCTAACTAGATGCCCCAACTATCTCAATTGACTCCTCTTGATATGGAGGAGCAGCGGCTCTACTCAGAGTCTCTCCCAAATGTCCAAGCTCCTCACCCTATCCCAAAGGCTGAGCCCAGCCACCCCACAGAGAAAATTCATTTCGGCCACTTGAATGCACAATCTTGTTGTTTCGGTCATTACCCAAAGCTCATGACCATAG